TTGTCTGTAACCTTTGAAAAATCAAGAACAAAAAAAGAAAACTGTAGATAATATTAAATAATAACCAGGGATGGGTAGCGTCACCATAATAAAGAGCGACTTAGCATTTGAAAACCCACCCCTTCTAACCCTTCCCAGACTTTCTATGACTGTTCAATCGTAGACTTCTCAATGCAGTTCAATGTGTCTTTGCAAGGCAGATGCTCTGGGCAATTGCTGTCTCTTGAGTTGGTACCATTGAGCTAAACAACCAGAAAGTAGCAGGACCTGTTGCCTCGTTGCCAGCCAGCCAGCCAGTAGTAAAAAGGTTAATTTATAAAAGTGCTAATTTCTACTAAAATTTGCACTTTTTGTAACATGAAAAAGGACACTCTCTTCACACATAAAGGACTTCAGCAAAATAAAGTGTTTTAGGTGTTTGGAGTGTTCCTTTAATTTAATGAGAGTATGTTGACATTAAAGTTGACCTCATATGAAGGGTTGTGTTGGCTTTGCTGGAAGTATATCCCCAGAGATTTAAACAAATATAGTTTGTTCATTAAATGTTGATAACAATCTGACAGTTGACAAACTACTCCTGTGATTTTATTAAAGACACGGAGGCTCATATTATGCATAACTCTTTCTTTATTTCCTCAGCAGCAAAGATAGAGGAATATAAATATTGTCAAAATGAAAGAAAAAACTGCATAGATACACAGGCAACCAATCACATAACAGAGGAAGTGACTATAAAAGGCCTGTGTCTCCCACAATCCCCCTCTTTCTTTGCTGCTTCCTCAGACAGCTAAGTACTTTGCTTGGTCCATTGTATTTATTTGCTGTGTTTTATATTTACATGGTTGTTATGCTGTACTATTATGGTGCTTTTCTTATGGTTGTTTGAGATTGCACTGTGATTGTTCACATTCATTCCTCTGTGTTTTATATCTGCTGAGCTGCCTCTTGCAGCTCCTACTCTGTCCCCTGCGCTGGTGCTCCCACCCACCCCTCCCTCACTCCGCCCGCCGTGACCGCTCTGCCGGCCGGCGGGTGCCTTCTATTCCCAGGTCGGCTTTCAGCCGCGGCTCTCTCTGGTACTGCCGCGGCTGTCAGCGTGTTTCCCGGCTCGCTCGCGGGCTGCCCGCGCGGGGAGGGGCGCGCGCCCCTTCCCCCGCCGGGTTGCAGGCCACGAGCGCTCCCTGCACGTGCGGCGGCCATCTTGAGGGCGGTCCTTACCCCCGGTCGTTCCATTCTGCTGCCGTGCGCTCTACCTTACTCCTGGGTCCCTGGGGTGCACCAGTGCTCAGGTTTTTCTTCCTATTTTCACTCTGCAGGGTTAATCAACCCTTTCAATCCTGTTTTTGACACTGTTTTAACTTGTAAACTGTTTGTGTTGGGTTTCCCCTGGTAATTACTTTAGCTATGCAGGAGAGGGAGGATGGGCCTGAGGGCCTCCCCACTGATTTCAATACAGATAATCCTGTGGGGGCTACTGCTTCCCAGGAATTCCAAGCCCTGCTGGATGCCACTATGGCCTCTTCCCTGCAGAAGGCTTTTGCTTCAGCCATGGGGGCTGTATCATCCTCTTTTTCCCAATCCCTGCATTCTCTCCTGCTGCCTTCCATGGCGACTCCCGCCCTCCTGGGCATGGGACTACCCTCTCCTACCCCGACTGTGCCGGGGGCCCGTAAGGCTAAGGAAAAATCTAAACACGTCGACTCCCACTCCTCGATGCAGGTTTTACCTGCCATGATTGACACGCTAGAGGCGGTCACAGACAGCGCGCCTCCCACGCGCAAAAGAGCCCCTGGCCGGGCTAAAAAGGCTAGGTTGTGGAAACGGGCTAAAGCCCTGGATGATGGGTCGGATTCCGACTGGAGTGTGGAGGATGAATCAGACGTTCTGGAGTATGACTCCTTTGATGAGGGTGAGTCGGGTGAGGACTTACCGCTCGCGGGTGTGACCCCTTCTGGGGCACCCGCCCCTGCCCGTAGTCAGTTGATAAACCCCACTGGGGATATCAAGGCACTGGTTGACCCTCAGGGCAACCCCTTATTTGACCCCGACGCTCTTCGTCACCCTAGGTCCGCAGAGTGGGTTCCCCCGGACCATATTGCTCAATATGTGGCACGGCGCATGCACACCCCCCTTTCCAAAGAAGGTCGCAATAAGTTGCGGGCGGAATGCCCCAGACCCTCTCTGCCCGGTGCAGCCTGCAAAACCCCTGACATCGACCCTCAGATTGCTCAATTCATGAACAAATCGGGCTGGAAGCCCAAGAAGGGCTTAGACTATTCGCTCAAGGGGTGCCAGGACAAGCTCTTGGACACCCTGGGTCCTTTATCTAAATTATACGAGCTCCTGGACGGCGCTCGGGCAGGCACTTCCATGCTGGATGTTGATGTTGCCATAGGATGGGTCCAGAGAGCTATCTGTCTTTTGGGGAATGCGAACACTGCCATGTCCTCAGAGAGGCGTAAGGCAATTCTCCTCAAGCTTGACCCAAAACTGGCTGCCATGACTGTGGCGGAGCCTGATCCTTCTGAGGAGGGGATGCTGTTCGGTGCTTCCTTTGTTAAGGACTTGGGGTCGTATGTTAAGACCTTTACGGCCATTGACAAGGCGCAGGCGAATATGAAGCGCCCAAGGTTTTCGGAGGGGCCGGGCGTAGCAGGAACCGTCCACCCGGCCGTGGTTTCCGTGGCTCCTCACGTGCCCAAAGAGGTTCCTTCTTTCCGTCCCGGGGATTCCAGGATCCGAGGACGCCCCCTTTCTTCCCAGCCAGAGGGAGACCTTGGGGCTCCAGATACCCCCGCGGTGCCGCTTCGGGAAGACGCCCTTATGGTAAGTACCCCTTCTTCCCATATTACTCGGGCTCGGGTAGCGGGCAGGCTGGCTCTGTTCCACCAAGAGTGGGCAAGTATTACTTCAGACGCTTGGGTTCTACAGTGTGTGAAGGGCTATCGCCTGGAGTTTGTTTCTCTCCCTGTCCAATTTCATGTCCCCAGGGAATTGTCTCTCCCGCTAGACCAAGACGAGATGATCTCGGCAGAAGTCGAGGAGATGCTGTCGAAAGGCGCTATAGAAGAGTTGCCGTTCGCCGCTCAAGGCTTTACGAGCAATCTCTTCCTGGTCCCCAAGAAAGGGGGCGGAGTCCGCCCGGTGATAAATCTCCGTCCCCTCAACGCATTCCTCCGGTACCAACACTTTCAGATGGAGGGTATACACTGCCTCAGGGACCTCCTCCGTCAGTCAGACTGGCTGGCCAAGTTGGATCTGAAGGACGCGTATTTCACGGTCCCGATAGCGTTGGAGTGCAGGGATTACCTGCACTTCACCTGGCATGGGAGACGCTGGCGCTTTACCTGTCTGCCTTTCGGCCTTTCCTCGGCGCCATGGTGCTTCACCAAGATCATGAAGCCTCCGATGGAGTTCCTCCGTACCCGTGGGGTGCGTTTAATCATTTACCTGGACGACATCTTAATCATGTCCCAGTCCAGAGACCAGCTTCTCACGCATTTGGGATGGACGATCGATCTACTGCAAAACCTGGGGTTCTTGATCAATTGGGACAAATCGATCCTGGACCCATCACAGTCGATGGAGTTCCTAGGTTTCCAGGTGGATTCCATCCGCCAATTCCTATACTTGCCGGATTCAAAGATCAGAGCCATCCGAAAGGAGCTTCGAAGGGCTCTGCGTGTACAAGATCTATCCATCAGGCAATTGGCACGCATTATCGGTCTCCTTGCGGCCTCCATTCAGGCGATATTCCCGGGCCCACTCCATTATCGTGCCCTCCAAAGGCTCAAGGGTTCTCACCTCCGAGCAGGTCATTCCTACGAATCCCGTGTACAGCTGGACGTGGAGTCCAGAGACGAACTGGTGTGGTGGTTAGCCCACATGGAAGCCTGGAACGGGAGGGCCATCTTCGGTTCCATCCCGGACGTGATAATAGAATCAGATGCCAGCTTACACGGCTGGGGGGCTCGTTGTGGCTACGTTTCCACAGGAGGCAGATGGTCCGAGACGGAGAGATCCCTGCACATCAATTGCCTGGAGCTCCTGGCAGGGGCATTCGCGATTCGCAGCCTTACCCCAGGACGGGCGAACTGCTGCGTTCTTCTCAAGATGGACAACGTGTCGGCCGTACGTTATATCAACCACCTTGGAGGCACCAAGTCCAGGATGTTGGCTCT